AATGATGGGTTTAAAACTCACTCCTTAAGCAATAAATATGACTGATTTACGTAGATTTTACCTCAGTGTTTTACATAAGTAAAGCTCAAAGCCCGATACCCAATTGTGCAAATACTGTTGTGAATGTTAGCAAACATGTATTCCTCAATTTTCAAGGCAAGGTAATCTCAGTTATCCAACCACTGGTTCAAAAGAATCTAAAAAGGAGCCTATTTAGATGAACTTGAAGGTGTTTGACATTGATGCTTTGTGATGCTACATATACATTATGTGAATTACCTCAAACAAACCCCGACCAATGGGAAAAAGGCGATGAAGAACTTGCAGACGTTGTTTGGGGTCAGACAAAAAGGGCATCCAGCAGAGGGCAAAAGTCACCAGTACAGTCAACGAGATCTTTGCCAGATGAAAAAATCTGGGTACACAAAAATTTAGCAATATACTTTGGTTATACAAATGTCTTCAATTTATTCTGTGAACATAAAGATATTTAAAAAAAATATATTAAGTCATTTTGTATCATTCAGGGATAACATTGTCTGTTTTCCTAACAATTCAGTAAAGGTGCTCTAACAGTTTTTTATGATTTGCTGACCAACACAACAATCTTGAACATTTTAAAAATTGTATACATATTTGTCATAAAATACTGTTTATTTTATATTAATAAGTGGAAACAAAATACTTGAAATGTGTTACACATTCGAAAAAATATTTTCCACAATTAATGGGTCATAAATAAGGTCACTCGATGACTTGAGTAGAGACAGCATGCTCTCACAGTTTTTCAGTGTACTGTATACTGGAGCAACTAACACCTCTCAGCTGTAGATATACAGTTGCACGCACAGGCATAGCAGGGAGGGTCAGCCATGGCCAGAGAGTCATCTGGACATGTCTCTTCCCAGGCAAACTAATCCACCAATGCATCTGCCTCCAAATGCCCTTGGTACATTGTTACTAAATCAACAAATGCAAGACAGCAAAGAGCAGAGTGCTTGCACTGAAATTGGCTGCAGGACTGGTGTAGAAATGAATCTACACTGCATACAAAGTCAAACTGAATAATAAAAGTTCAGTTCAGTTCAATTAAAAAAATTCCACCTTTAGAGATGAAGTGCCTAATGATGAATATTAAGGATTTGTTATTCTCAGGCATAAATAAGGCTATGACACTTGCAGCTGGACTGAAAGCTGGACACATGCAGCTAAAGTTGTAATTAGCATTGTCAACAGATGTATTAATTGTGTGCAATCTTCCATTAACAGGGCTTTTTCACTTGTAACCATAATTCATACTTGCTGAGATTGGGTGATTATTATATAAACGATTATACAGTATAAAAACTTTGATTCATTATATATATATATATATATATATAATAAGTGTCTTATGCTCACCAAAGCTGCCCTTATTTGATAAAAAAAAATATAATACATAAAGTAAAGAAGCTTTTTCTCCGTCACTGATGTGGGATTCTGGTATGTGTGTCTACTGAACAAGGAAATGCATTGATTGTGATAAATAAATCTGACACCATTTAAGCCTATAATTGGTCTCCCAAAATGTCACCAATTGGCAGGCCAACTTTTACTACACTAGGTTTTGTACCTTCTGGAATCTCTTGAGGTCTGCTTAAATAACTCAATTAATCAATTTTAACATATTATTGCAATAATTAATTTAAAAAAAAACACAATGTTTATGCAACAACCCAAGAGACTCACCCTCTCCCAGTCAAGCCCTGTTTGATGCACTTGCCCAGGAGATAGCAGAAGAAAGGCAGTGAGTGGTACAATTCCATTTGCTTGTAATTGAGAGCCAAAGTGAAGGCCAAGGAACCAAACAGATCCCAGCCCAAACCAAGTCCCAATATCCCCCATAGAGCCAGACCCAGGCTCACACTGTTATATCTGAAACTGCAGTTAAAGACTATGCACATGCTGCTCTTTTTGGATCTTAACTTCTTGACATGACTGTGAATAGCTTAAATGAATAAATACCATAGCAATTAAGGTAAAGGTTAAAGGATACTGAAAATGACCGTAGTCAATCAGTATAAGTCCTGGATACAGAAGGATGCAGAGAGCTGTGGCAACCTATGAGAAAAAAAAATGATGCATTTTGACCAAATCAAAGCATGTTAATGATTACAAATACAATTTAACAATATACCAATTCAAGGGCAGTCTTTTAGTTACCTTTTGTTTAGAGGACCCATCGCAAAAGTAGAAGCAGTAAAGCAAAACTGCTGGAATGTAGATCAAAATATCTGTAAAAAGAACTGTTGGACCAAGAAAGGTTCATATTCATAACCATATCAATATTTCTCCTCATCAACAGAGATTTACATTTACATTACATTTAACTATAACTAGATGCAATCATATGACTGTTGACTCTGACGACTATAAACAGTTAAAAACATTATAATAGATTATTCAAAGCACTTCAATGCAGCAATTTAAACACACTCATAAAACTAATAAATAGATTTACATTTTAAAGGGGTCATGAACTGCCTTTTTTATTATTTTGTACTGTTCTCTGAGGTCCACTTATAATGTTATCAAAATGTTTACATAAAAAAACATCATAATTTAGAAGTAATAGGCTATTTTCTGTCCTGTTTTGACCTCCCTCATCGGAACGCTCTGTTTGAATAGGCGTAGTGGATTGTAGACACGGAAGTAAACGCCCACTGCTTTGACTGGCTAACAGTTGTGTATGTTTGATAACCTACAGCCTTCATAGATGGACACTGCTGTGATTTCTGTTAAAGCGCATAAATACTCAGTACATATCAAATGATCTGTAATAACAGACAAAGCAATAGTGACCATGTAATAAAAAGTTACACTTGTGTGGTGCAACATTACTGTCGGTTCCAATATATTTGGCACAGCATCGTCTTTTAGTTTCAATCTTTCTTATTTGTAAACGAATCTGTGGTAAAATGACGTGAACAAAGGACCACGTTCTTACTGACGTGGTCTGGAACTTCATTAAAAATAAAGTTCATATCAGATGGAACTTTGCCTCTCTCATTATTTACACTATATGCTTGAATCGGTGGGCGGGGCTAAACAGGCAGTGATGTAGAAGCAGATGTTGATCTACTTCTGCGTAGGTGGTGTTTGGCCACACTATTACGCCATAATAAAGTGGCACGTTCCAATTCTGATTTCTCAGTTCATGACCCCTTTAATATTTACTTTTTATAAATTAACATTTTAAAAATGATAGATGAGCAATTTCCCTGAAAAAGAATATTATATATATATATATATATATGTGTGTGTGTGTGTGTGTGTGTGTGTGTGTATATATATATATATCTTTTCTGATTTCTCAGTTCATGACCCCTTTAATATTTACTTTTTATAAATTAACATTTTAAAAATGATAGATGAGCAATTTCCCTGAAAAAGAATATTATATATATATATATATATATGTGTGTGTGTGTGTGTGTGTGTGTGTGTGTAAATATATATATATATTTCACAAGATGTTACATGATATACAAGTGTATTTGAGTAATTCTATACATAGAACAAGCATATATTTTACATACAAAACAATAATAATCCTTATTTCTGCACTAGTACATAATTTAATTTTCAAATTTACATTTCGTTTAGAAAGGGTTTGTGGTCAGTCTGCTGAATTTGTGGTGACTATGGTAACTATCATCAAGGAAGCTTCATTAGAAATAACTTTACTTTAAATAAATACTGTAGAAACAAAAGATTATAAGTGGTTTTATGCCTTTCATAATTCCAGTATTTCTGCAAATTCAGTAAAGTTAAGAGGTAGAAATGACACTGCCATCTAAAATATTTGAAATAAATGACATCACTACCTACCTGTGACCCTCATGAACAACTTATGTGAGTGGCTTTCATAGACTCTAGATGCATGCAACTCCACCCATTCAGGATTGAGCAGCTTTGCTCTATAAAAATACGCACCACACAAAGAAAAATCATCATCATCATCATCATCAATCCATGTTCAACTGATAAATGGAATATATATACCTCTTATATATATGGATGCTATACCATGTAAAAGAACACTTACACATATGCACAGGCCAGGCTGTGATATGCTGTCAGATGAGGATAATCAAGACCCCAGTAGTTCAAAGCATTATTTGTAGTATTGAAGTACCTAGTTTGACAAAAAAGAGAAAAAAAAACTGTTAGGGCCTTGGCCTTATAAATAAAATAATGTGACGTTTAATTTCTACAATATATAAGGAAAGGGAGCTTCACCAGTGCTGGTTTACTTAGCCATGAAATAATAACGAGAGACTAACCATTCATGAACAGGTAGATTGTAAGTCACTTCTTGCCAGTGTCTCTGTGCTTCATAGTCCCCGAACACTGGCTGTTTACCTGCACCTATTCCATTAAATGACATGCAGAATAGCATGATTTATTAATTAAAAAACGTAAATTTATAATGTACAATACTATTTATGTATAACATTCTTTCACGAATAATGTTTATCCCCCTTGCTTGTCGTTTTAGTTGAGCTGATCTTGCTTATTTACATATGAATGAGTTGCTCCGAACAATTGCCACTGGTGTCAATACTGATCCTAAATAAACCGGTGCATTATTGGAAACCAACCTGAGTATGAGTGAAAAGACACCGTCCATCTCGACGTTAAACCGAGCAGCACGCACAGTGAAATAAGGCTCCAGTTCTCCATGTCCGGTAGTCTTTACGACTTTTGATTTACAAATCATAACTCTGCAGCATCGCTCATGCTTTCCTACAGAGCCCAATCATCGGATGAGATTCACTTCCTGAAACAACACGTCAGCGGAGTGGCGCTTCGTGATGACATCATACATTAGCAGGTGGGTTGAAGTGATTGAACAGGTTGGGCGTTTGCGGTCTGATCAAAACATGAAAATGTTGGTATTAAATAAGTTCTGGCTCAAATAGAGTATTGTAGTGCAGCAAGTAAAGATGTTGCTAGATCTCCTGAATATATAAGCCGAGATCAAATAAATCTATGGAACATCACCAGGTAAAGACACTGAATGAACCGCCTTTTGCCTATACGAACACTGTGTATGTGAATGATGTTTTTATGTTCAACTATATCCCAAAAATCCTAAACAACACTGGTCTGTAGGCTACCAAATATCTATTCCATAAAGAACTATTTTGATTTAGCCTATACTTTTTCTTAGAAGAATTTAAAATGTCATTGTTACACATTGTTTATTTATAAAACGCCTTAAAGAATTACTGTTTTATATGGATTTTTTGCCATTTGTAATTTTTTTATTTCATCAGAATATGCTCACCATGTTGATTTTCAGAATTCTAGCGTTACTTATGTTTGTTGCCTTGGTAACCTGACGATTTTATTTCATTATAGAAAATAAATTAGATTAGCCTACACAATAAGATCCAATAATATACATTTATTAAACTGAAGAGCATTTAGTTCGTTTATAATTTCTCTGTGTCCTTTATTGTCCCATCAATCTTTTTATTTACTCAAAACTACAACATATTCAGTAATATCAGTAGACTTACCTGTTAAGGCATCTGTCAGTGAGTCATCAGTCAGTCAAATTTTGGTCTGAGAGCATTTGCACAATTGTTGCTCACTTTACAATCATACTTGAGTTCTTCAATTCTCATTTGAGCAGTGGTGTAATCATTAGCATTTCATTAATTTAAAGACTTGGATTTGACAGCTTCTTTGTGGTTGGGACATGAAATATTTATAAATAATAACCACAGTCAAGTGCTGATTTGCAATGACACTTTCATTAGACTACAGTAAGGAGCCTATTAGTCACATCCAGCTCAATGACATGTTAATGTCCCTGTTTGCCATCTTTGTCATTTACTGCTTAGTCTCTGCACCCTTTTAAATATTTAGTAACCCACATTTACTGTTGGCGATGTGCTCCAGGAGATGTGAGTGGTCCAGGCTTGTCAGTGGTCCCTGTAGTAATGCCCTGCATGTAGCTTCTGTATTGTTTTTTTTTAAAGTAGGACTGTTATTTATTTATTTATTTGTTTGGTTGTTCGTTCGTTTTTCACATTTCCAGTTGTATAGACTGTAATCATTTTTCTGCTTTCAGAATTGTTTAGACATCTATTTATGGTTTGAAAGGTATTAAGAGAAAAGTAATGTTATTGTTGCAAAACAAGGTTCAAGAGAAGCTGTCCCGAATTCTGCTGTGCGAAACCAAGCCCATCTAGCCATGATTAGAGAATAATGTCTAATTAGAAAAACAGTCTTTAATGTAACATTTAATATAGCCTTAAAGAATGACATGAGTGTAAAGCAATGGGTCAGGCATGACCCAACAAACACAGAACGTTCCCCTAACATTCCCATTTGGTTATTCTTTTGGGAACCAAATAAGAACATTCCTTGTAGGTTCTTTTTTTAATGACCTAAAGAGAACCTTCCCAGAACATTCCCTGCAGGCTACTTTTAGGTTTAATTTTATAACCTAAAGAGAATCTTCCCAGAATGTTCCCTGCAGGTTTAGTTGTATTTTCATAACCATGTAAACAAAATAAAAGTTTGCAGATGTTTCTGAGTGATGACCAACAGAGAGATTATTCTAATGCTGAAATGTGTATTTTTCATAAACAAACTATATTTAGCATAATTTCATGTCTGAAATAAGCTTTTAATAAAGTTGTAGACATTAAAGCAGTCAAATTGCATTAGAATGATCAGATAAATCAAATTTTGTAGCAGAAATATTAAGCCAAGGTTAAGCGTAGTCTTGAAAAGCTTATCATAAACACCTGGGTTTGTTTAAATCTCTCTTTACTGCGCAGCGCTTCTCCAGCACCTGCTTTCTCCTGTCTTCCACAGAAAGCCACGCAATCACGTAATTTAAAAATTAACGGTCATTTCGTTTTACTGACTAACATTCATTTATTGATCTGTTTATTGAATAATTATATATATATATATA